GCTAGATAAATTGAAACAAACAAAATAAACTATGCAGGTACTAGCATATACAATGTCATCTTAGATTACTATTAAATTTGATAGTTTTTTCTATGTGCATATTTTAAAAAGATTGTAATGCTCTTCATTATTTATATTGTACACTTAAATATGACTGTATTTGTGGGCCAGCTGAGTAGCACGTTGGTTAAGAGCTGGCTTGGGATGCCAGAGGGCCCCGGTTCGGATCCCATATATGAGGGCCAGTGACACTGTCCTCTACAGCTAAGATGCTGAACAACAGCTCAACCTGGAGCTGGGCTGCCTTGAGTCGCTAACAATGGTGTGGGCTGCAGCCCCTGCTGCAGTGGGTTGCCATGGGCTTCCGTGTATAGCCAGCAGCCAGCATGAGTGGCCAGCAGCTGCAGTGAGTGGCTGTCCAGAAGCCGGCGACTGATCTGCCTCACCTAGGAAGAGCACAATGATGGTGCCAACTTAGGCCAGTAAAGCAACGTCCTCCACAACTAGGCTGAAGAACAAAAGGACAGCAACTGTCTGTTCCCTTTCCCCCAATTCCCCAGTGCTGTTCCCATCCCCCAATTCCCCAATTAGAAAAAAAAAAATATATATATATATATGACTGTATTTGTTAAAAAATTAAAATTATGGAACAGATAATAAGTTTTATGTCATATTTTATAACTGGCTAAAAATTAAAATATATTATCTAAAGGATTTATTTAACTAACTTGTTTATAAAATTTTAGTAAGAATTTTTATCCATATTGCAAATGTAAAATAGATTGTTCATGTTCTGATTAACAAATTAATCATTAATTATAAAGAAATATGGTACAGCAATGCAGTTATCATATACAAGAAAGTGATATAAATTGCATTAAATGTATTATAAATTCTCTCAAAATTTGAATTAATATAACAATCTAAGTAGTTCTAATAAAAATTTATAAATGACTGTATAGTTTTATTTTTGGCTTTTGATTGTTGGTTTGTATAAAATAATCTATTGAAAGAAATACATATCAAGTCAATATTACAAATGTATTTTTAAATAAAAACTTTCATTAAAAAAATCTATCTTAGATCTTGTAATATGATTTAATCAATATAATGGTTATATTTTAAAATTGCTCAGCTTTCTAGATGCATAAAAATAATTTGTCTACTTTTGAATTCCTTTCTCATCTGAAATAACATGAAAATAATATTTTAAAATAATGTAAAACAGGGGCTCATTTTAGGGCTTTAAGACTCTGATTATCTTTCATTTTTCCATCTCTTTTCATTACACAATATCATTTTGTGTAAATTAGAATTACTCTTCTTTATTTTAATGTATCGAATTTTCTTCAGAAATCACCCACTCAAATGCATTTTACTGATTGAAATATTAATTTGAAAACATACCTGGAAAATTTTAGATCACTATCAAGTTAAAAGAAACTTGAGCAAAAAATGTTTAATACCTTGACAACCTATTTAATTTTAATTCCACTATTTTTAAAAAATAAAAACCTTGCATTTAAATTAGAAATTTCCATTTTATCAAAATTATATATTTCAGTCTTAATTGTTCCTTTGAGACAGGATCTTTTTAATATATGCATATTTGTGTTTCAAAAGTTAAAATAGGATTTCATCAATGCAAGAAATGTTTTAGAGACTTTTAGTATGTAATGCACCAATTATTATAAAATTAACCGGGTCACTTATGACATTAATAAAAAAAATCAAGGTTCATTTTTGTTTTTTCCCTTAACTTAAGTAGATGTGGTGTGTATAAAGTAGGAATGGGGCCCTCAGCAGGTAATAAGAGAAGGAAAAATATATCAAAGCTGCAGGGATTGTGTGCTTTTACCAGAGACCAGTAGGAGGGGAGATCTGGTGAGGCTCTTTTCAGACACATCCTATGCAGTTTCACTTTTTAAGGGTTTGAAGGGCCATGTGCAAAGAACAAATTGGGAATGCAGAGCACTACACTTGCCTCTCCTATTTGAGAAGGGGAGTGAGGAGGTGGGGCCTGGGAAGTGAGAGAGAGAGAGAGGGAGAGGGAGAGAGAGAGAGGGAGAGATGGGGGACAGGGAGATAGGGAAGGAGAATTCTGTACATTTAATGAATAAATTGTTACTTAGAATAGAATGAGAAAATGAAGGATCCTTATTCTAAATATATCAAGAAGAAAGATGTCCCCAAATAATTTCTAATATTCTGCATTCCAGGCTAGAAAGTAGATTTGGCAACTTCTGAAAATATGATTGAATTGTCCTAAGTACATGCAACATATGTATAAATTCAGATCAGTCATCGTCTTATATATTTCCTAGTGATACATTTTCAAATGTATCACTATAAAAAAAAAACACCTCATCTTAGACATACTCTTACCGCCACATCTGAGAACACTGTGCCCAACTCCTACCCGCTCTGATCCGTTGAAACCATCATCGATTCACTGAGAACACACAATAGCAACCCCAAGAATGTATCATTAACAAGCAGATCTTGATTTTAGCAAGGCATTTAAAAGACTCATTATGTTATCTTGCACAAAATTGAAAAATATTAGTCAGTTAGTGGACATGGAGAAAAGATTCGCTATTTGAACACAAATTCAAGGAGTCATAGTAATTGGATTAACATCACCCTAAAAAAAAAAAAGTGATTATGGTCGATTTCCTAGCCACATGGAGAGCTCTTGAGAAATGCATTTCTCTCTTCTACCAGCATGATGCTGCACATGCAATTTTAATGCCTCTGTCCAACTGATACAAAGATTCTGCTTTCTTTATGACTCACCAGTAAGCCTTTTCTGTCACCTTTCGTAGCTGTTAGCTCTGTTTTTATAGGGCTTCACACTTTTCTCTGCTGGCATATATTTACTGTAATGGTTGCATGTCCGTGTTCCTAACTTCTCTATGAGACTGTTAATGCAAGCCCAAGCCTTATTTACACTTGAATCTGGGCACCAGACTAGCCTGGCACTCAACCAATGTGGCGAATGAATAAAAGAGGAGCATGGGCATGTTAGATTTCTGGTGGTGGTTTTCATTTTAATTACAATGATGTTGAAACTGAAGTTAATTAGGAAGAGTTCCTTTGGAAAAGCAGCCTAAAAATCTGTCTCAAAAAGCATTACAAGAAAACTTGGTAAAGCCTTTTTATTTAGACTTCTACAAGAGGGGGGGGGGAAATCCCAACTATGTAGAACTTGTTTTGCTAAGTGTACTTTTCTCTCAGTTTAGTTTTATCTGTGGAAATTAGTTTCATGTTTTCATTAATATTTTTCTATGAATATAGAAGTTAAGTTAAGAAAGATTAAATTATGTTTTTCTTCTTAATGTATTTTATTAGTTTTATCATCAATGATTTGGTCATTGCTTTTACTGATGTTATGTTACATGTACATAACTAAAACGAGCCACAATTCTGTCTCAGGACAATTGATCTTCTATCTTCTGACAGGTAGATACAGACTAACTAGATGTTGAAACAAAGACATGTTCAGCCCGATATCCAGGAATAGATTGAAAATAAATTCAGGGCAATTCTGTCACATATAGCTATTATTATTATTATTTTTTTTTTTTACTATTTTAAAATTTTTATTGGGGAACAGTCATGGTTATTGGTTACACATTGCTTCCATGCTACAATGGCATAGTTGACTCTTTTTTTAGGAAGGGTGCAGTTCAGAGTGGCCCATGGGGGGATCAAACCAGCAACCTTGGTGTTATCAGAACCACACTTTAACAAACTGAGCTAACCAGTCACCCTCACATATAGTTATATATAGCTGCCACAGATTAGAGTAGAGAGAAATCAATGGCCAGCTGAGACAGGGTCTGAATCAATAACAAGAAATCCTCATTGGAGCAAAGAAACACTTCCAAATACAACTCCAGAGGACAAACCTGAACACAGCAACTCAATCATCAGAGGCCAATGTATAAGATAAAGGGAGGACAGTTGTACATTGAAAGGGGGTTCAGATGAAGTTCCTGGAAATCATTTTAAACGGCGTGGCTTTTGAGAGTCAATCCCTCTAGTAAGTGCATGACACTTTGAACTTGGCATCTAATTATTGAATTACTTCGGATTTCTTCACATCTGCCAATAAAAAAATGATGCTTTTTAGATAAAAATATCATTCAATCCATGGACAGAATAATCTTCTATTTTCAACATAGAATGGAGTTAAAAGTTTATATAACAAACTTTTATTATTTTATAATAATTATATATAATAAATATATATAATAGCATTATATATTATATAATAACATGAGTGCAGTTACAGAAATAAGCTCAATACTGTTTCTCAAAGTTCTATCTATTAATTATTTACCCAAACATTCATTTTTAAAAGTTTTCTAACAAAAATAGTATTTTACGGGAAATATATCTAAAATGTTGTTGCGTTTATCAAGAGGATGTTACTGAACAGTTGACCTGGGTTCTAAACCCAGGCATTCTGAGGCTTCTTACCCCCGCCCCTGACCTTATAATGTACGTACCACCCACTGTTCCCACACTAGGAATCACCTCAAGGATTGAGAAATGGCCTTGAAAGAGGAAGGTATTATTGAGACTATCTGTATTGTACATGTGACTGAACCCCATTAAGGCCTCTGTATAAACTCTTAAGGTTCTGGCTAGTGGGTGTGGAGATCTACTCATCATGCAGCTGCCCAAGACAAGCCTTGTATCTAAGTTCCTTGTTTATTAAGCATGCCACCGACCAATCTGCAGTTGTTTGCCTCTTTAGTCTTCACTTGCTCTCCATGTAGACACTTTAGAATTTTCTTTGGGGAACTCTCAAAGTTAAGAACCAACAAAAATGAATTGTATTTCTTTCAAGAAAAAAAAACTGAAATAGAAATATTACCATTTATTTAAATTAAGTCAATAATCTGAAATTTGATATATACATTAGAATTATGTATATAATGAAATGCCCTTTGTTGTTACATGTTATTTCTTGTTTTCTTACTTTTTTCTAGATTTGTATGTAATTGCAAACCTGGGTATCATGGATCTCTCTGTGACCTGGATATGAATGAATGTGAAATCTCACCTTGTATAGATGGAGAAAATTGTATCAACAGAGCTGGTGGATACAACTGCCTCTGTGCTCCTGGTTATACAGGTAAACCTCTATCTTCCCTGTCTATATCAAGATGTTCCTGTCTATAGATAAATGGCAACCTCATGTCTATGCTCTAAAACATGAAATCACCTGTGAAATGCAAATAAGGACAGAAAGGTCAAAGAGATTTCTTTTTGTCTCTTGTAAAAGAAATGAATAAAAACAAAAAAATGTTTTTTAATCTACAAGTTGCTGAAGACTAAGAAATATGTAGATTATATTTCAAGATATTTTACATTATTATGTTTTTTTGAATTGAAGTTTTACAAAAGGATGTTTTTATGGATATACTACAGGTAAGAAGTATTGGTGTATGAATAATCTTGGAGAAATAATACTATTATATTTATTACACAAATGTCATTTTAAAAAATATAATAAGTTTAGCTCCTTTAAAATACACTTAAATACTAGAAACCAATCAAGGAGCCCTTGTGAATTTAAAGTTCCAGCAGAAAAATAGGATTTGAAGTTAGCTGTCTTATAAATTATTCCACAGAAAAAATTCTACCCAAATATAGAGGCAAAAGTCATCAAGAAAATTTAAAAAGTTGAAAAGCATTAGCCCTCTAAACTTCTTCATAGAAATTACATTTAATAAAAATCTGTATTGTTTTGACATAACAATATTAATTATGTGGATCCAGCCAGAATGCATTCAATTCTCAAATCTCAATTTATTAATGTTTTTGAATTCTGTACCACTGGAATCTTAAGGGTTTCTTTTTTAAAGGAAACTGTTTAAGTGAATCTAATATTGGATTCTACACTCACAGGATTGAAAAACATTAGACAAATAGAAATGAGATTGCAAAGCAAAACTGATAAAGTACTAGAAGTATTTCTGGTGAATAAGTGATCAAAAGGCAAAAGAAAATTAAGTGACCTGAGCAAAAAATATGCAGGTATCTCTCATGAGGAATCCTGATAGCTTCAGAGAAAGTTACTGTGATAAAAATTGTTACATGTGTAAAAGTCTTATAAAAGTCTCTTAACTTAAAAAAATAAAAATAATAACCAATATCTACAGATTTTCTGTATAAATAAGAAACATTATATTTTGGCTATAAGAGAGTGTTCTTTCTAAATTTCATATTGCCCATCATCCAAATTATTGACATTTCTTATTGGGACTATAGATACTCAACTAGCATTGCCATTCACAATGCTGTTGTTTTGCTGCTGCTACTGCTGCTAAGATTGTTAAAATAAGAAATGGTACACTGAGCTCAATGTGACTGAGAAACACATTTTGTTAAATTATTTGATATAACATGTTGTTCTGGAGGGCCGGCCGAGTGGCTCAGTTGGTTAAGAGCTCGCTCAAGAGTTTGAGCTCTGAGCAACAGCGGTTCGAGTCCAGCCCGAGCTGAGCAACCGCTGAGCTGCCAACACGTAGCAGGATGGCTCAGCTAAAATAAAAATAAAAATAAATAAAAATAAAGAATATGTAACTGAAATAAAGAATATGTTAGAGAGAATCAAAAGTAAATTAGATGAAGCAAAGCTGAATCATTGATNTGCCAACAGGTAGCATGATGGCTCAGCTTAAAAAAAAAAAAAAAAAAGTAACATGTTGTTCTGGTACTGTAAATTCATCTTAAAGTTTGAAGGATTAGCATGTTCTTTTTTTTTTATTACAACCTCTTTATTTTCCATTCAGGGTATGTATTATTTCAAAACTTGTTACCATTGTTTCAAAATTTAAGAAGGAGTTGCCAACTAGACACTCCAGTGGAGAGGTTGAGTCCACAGTTGGCTGTATGAGATAGTCTGCAATGGAAAGATAAATTTGAGAGTTTTTTGACATACAGCTATAATACTGGGTAGAACCACAAAGGGGTCAATGTAGATAGAATAGAGAAGAGTACCAAGGACTGAGTCCAGGGACACTGCAATATTTAAGAGTCCAAGAGAGAAAGAAGAACAAGCAAAGGAAATTGAAAAGAGCAGTCAGTGATACGGGAGGCAAAACAAGGGTGATTAGACTTCTGAAAGCCACATCAATTATTTCATGGGGAGGGGAGTGATCAACAGTGTCAAATGTTATTATTCTGTCAAAGAAAATAAAGGCTAAGTGTTAACCATTAAAGTAGCAATGCAATTATTATTGGTTGCATTGTCAAGGAAGCACTTGTGCTGGATTGGAGGGTGCAAAAGTGTGTTTGAAGTGAATTTAAGAGAGTATGTTAAGAAAATTAAGTTTCTGAGAGTGAATACAAATAATTGATTAAAAGAAGGTTTGGTTTTGTTTTTTACTTTAATAAGGTAACAAGAAGTGGGCAGTAGCTTGGAGTGAGATAAAAAGTATTTTTTAAAAGTTTATATTCTTATTAAATGACTGACTTGTGTAGAGGATGGGCTGGAGAGTTTCAATAATAGAAAGAGAAAGACAAGTCAAAAGGCTTTGGGATGATGCTCTCATAAAAAGGCATTTGGGGAGCACATACTGTGTAATTGATTAACAGAAAGGCAGTGTAAGGATTAAGGATTCCGTGGGCTTCCTCTCAATCTCTAAATCTGAATTTGTCGGCCTATTTTCCAAGGGAAATTTGAAGTTTGAACTCAGCAAATTATGCTTGGTTTTAGGTTAACACTATTGTAGGCTTCTCATATTGAAAGAAAAGAGTTTTCTTCTTAATTTCAAAATGATTTATTGGAATGTTACAAAACCCCTGTTCTCATGCCGTTGTAAAGAGCGGTTTTCACACGTAGTTTTATGGTCTAGTATGAGCCCTCAGGTGAACTTGCTGTGCGGTAATTAGAGTAACTGAAGTGCCTCTGTAGATGTAGTTAGTCAATTCTGAGCTGACTTAGCCATCATCTCCGACCAGGTGTATCAGACAGAGATTGGCAATTTGCTAACTTCTCCCTGGAATGGTCAGAGAATTCAGTTCTCATAGTTGTACTAGAAAGCTATCACCATAGAAAAGTAACTCATTTCTACTTATTCTCTCCCTAATATAGGTATGTGTGTATCTGATATCACAGTTTTATATGGTATATAACAGACGATATTGTCATGAGAAAAAATTATGTGAAGAAGTGATTATAGGGAGGCAGGGTAAAGTTAGGAGTAGGGAAGTGAATTTAAACAGAGTAGTCATGAAAGGACATGGGAAAATTATTTTGGTTTAAGACTGAGATGCCAATTATATACTGGTATACACATACCTATTTGTAAAAATACAAAGGTAGATAGAGACACAGAGACATGAAGAAGCAAAATTACCCTTAATTACCTAAAACGATGAGAATATTTCCCTAATAACAGATTTTACATTTTTATGTAACTAGACCATTAAGATAAGAGGCTAGACCAATAAAGGAGCTTTGATATTTCCAGGTGCTATTAGGACTTTCATAGTGTATATATATATATATATATATATATATATATATATATATATATATATAAACATTGTATAGAAAAAAATTATCACATCACAAATTCAGTAGGAGAAACACCTAAAAATTTGATCTATAGTTGTCAGTTTAGCAGTCTGTTGTATTAGGACACAAAACAGACATTGCATAAAGACTAATCTAGTTTAACAGGTTTTGAAGATTCACAGATTCCTCAACCTGCTTTCATTTCCACAACTATGTGAAATGTGAGCCCTGTGCTTATCAGTGATTACACTTTTCTTTTACTTCTTAATCATGATTCTATAACAACATTTAGATATGCAACATATTACACTGGCAATAACACTGGAAAAGGTCTGATTTGCCTGAATAAAACAGGGAAGAGTTGGGGATAATATTCCAAGGCAAATATAGAACATGTAACAAACCTGCTCCTAAGAAACAACTTTTTTCAATACTCTTAAATATTTTTTCTGGTATTTATCTCCATGTTTCTAAATAGCACAGTTATACAACTATTTCTGTCTTTCTTTTTTTTTTCTATTTTGAACATTATCTAAGTAATTTTTTTCTATGGAAAATAAAGATTTAGCTCTGTTATCACCATCTCCTTTCACCAACACATATACACTTTTCCTCACTACTTCCTCCTAAAATGGTTATATGAAAAATTATATTAGTGAAAAAGTCACTGTTAGTATTATTGTAATCATTTCAGTTTATTTTTATTTTGCTTATTTTGATAAAGATTTACTTATACCTTTTTCCAATGTTTTTTTTTATATTTTTAAAGGACACTTAACTCTCATGTTTTAATTTCCAAAACCTTTTTTCTTTTTTAATATATGTTAGTGCATTTGTAATTTTCGTTGATAAAAATTCTTTTTATAATAATATTTATAGGATGTTTTATATGTTTTATTCCTTGCATTGTCTTAATCTACTCCAAATTCCTTTTTACATCCTTGTGTGTTTTCTTTTTTCATGTATCTCTTTATTTAGAGGTGTTTCTTTAATATCAGACATTTTTAAATATCAATTACCATCTAAGAGAGAAGCACTAAAACTCCAACTGAAAACTGAGTGAGTGAGAATGCTTGACTGGTGATTTTGTCACTTTGTGTGAGTGATGCATGAACACCAGCTATTTTGTTGGAGAAATCTGAAATGTCATTATTGGCAGCCCTTTTCCCTTTCATTTTCCAAGAAAGGGGCAGGGAGAGAGAATGGAGCTGGGGCTAGGAATGCATGGGGAAAGTCATATTTGATAAGATTTTGGTGAACAAGGACCTAAGGGTTAGTTAGATCATTCTGATTGTTAGAAACACCTAACAAACTCATAGAACAATATGTATAATTCAATGTATGTTTTCTGCTCTACTTTAAATTAGTACTTCAAAACTCTTAATACAAAGATGTGTATACTTTATAACACAAAGTAGTTGTGTGTTCATGGACCCTTAGGGGAATAAACAGATCAGTGTAGTCTCTACACAGGGCAAAGTAATGGAAAAAGAGGACGGAAGACCCAGGAGGAAAGAGACAGGGAAATGGAGGAATGGTTGGCATGACCATAGCTGAAGAGGTGAGGTGGAAACGCGCAAGCCCCTCAAGGATTCTGGCTCATTAAT